TCTTGATTTTTCAGGGACAAGTCTTTAAAAGCAACAGAATACAGAATAAAAGATACATGAGGCATAACAGCTAAATACAATATGAAAAATTTTGTTTGTACGGTGATTTGAAAAACCAACAGGACAAAATAAAAACAAACAAAAAAAATCACTTTGAGATGATCAAGGAAATTTTAATTTGGACCAAGTATTAGATGAGGTTAAGGAAGTATTGTTAACTCTTTTAAGTGTGATGATGATATGGTGGTTGTGGAAAAATTAAAAGTGGTGGGAGGAGAGACAGGGGGAGACTTAGTTAAAAAATAAATTGAAAGTAAATGCAACTCATACCAAGGCAGCATTTTCGACACATTTGGAGGGAAATTCTATTCACTAAAAATAATCTTTTGTTTCAGTCTGTTAAAACAAGACTTGTTTTACTTCTGTGAAAAGGGCTGGTTTGCAATTGAGATGGACAAACGTATACACCACACGTATAAAACTTTTGGGGAAACATCAACTCTACCTTCACTGCCATGATCTGCCCACTGGGCACATGCCGCATCTTCTCCACCACCCCATAGGCACCTCGTCCCAGCTCCACTATAGGCTCCAGATCATCTGCCTTCACCTCAAAGTTCTGCAGGAGAGAAAAGTATTAGTGCAATAGGAAAGAGAAAACTAAACTGGACATAGACTGCATTGTACTCTCTCTGGTCTCTCTCTGGTTTCTCCCAGTATTCTAAGGATTATTTCTGGGCCAGAAGCTTTTCTGGCATGTCAAAGCAGTCTCTGAAATGCAGAAGCTACAGAAGTGCCAGGGAGGCTCCCACCATAGGTCACTTGTTTGTCACAGGCAACCCAGGAACCCACCTCCAATGCAGATTTCCAATGACTCAGCTGAAACTATCTACACTGCAGTTCTTTAGCCATGTTCCCTTAATTATGTGTGTAATCCATTACTGACTGACAGCAACTAGATCTATGTCTGAAATTTGAGAAATGCCCTCCCAACAGATTCACCTACTCTCCTCACATACCTTTTATCAGAACCACAATAGCCTGATTCCAATTCACCATCCAAAACAGCAAACACTTTACATACCATTTCCCTTCAAACTCAAACTTTTTTTGACCCATCCTCTGACAGCGCGTTACAGAAAACAGTTTTTTTCAGCAGTCAGTCAGAAAGTATACAAGGGTACTTCAAAAAGTTCATGGAAAAATAGAATTAAAACATAATACGAATCTGTCCACGAACTTTTTGAAATAGCTTCATACATATAAAATGGCCAAGGTATTAACTAGCAGTTATGATTTTTCTCACCTGATTTCCAATAGAAATGCAAGCTTTGGAGTCTAAATCTCGAGGTGGCCTAAGAAAGAGAAAGGGGGAAAAGAAGAAACATAAGATATTTAGTTAACTCTGTCCCTCCCCGATCATGACCAGAGAGGTTTTCCTTAGCATAAGAATGTGGGATTTGAAATAAAATACATTTGTGTTTAAATTACTTGAAAAAGGCAGAAGTTCACGGGTAAGGAAAATCAGCATAAGAATGTGGGATTTGAAAGAAAATACATTTGTGTTTAAATTACTTAATCTCTTTGAGCCTCCATTTCTTCTTTAACACGGGCATAAGAATGTGGGATTTGAAATAAAATACATTTGTGTTTAAATTACTTAATCTCTTTGAGCCTCCATTTCTTCTTTAACACGGGGATATTACTATATCCACCTGGCAGAGTAGGAGTGAGTATTAAATGAGGTATTCCGAGCAAAATGGTTAGCAGAATGCTTGGCATGCAGTAAATGTCCAATAAATACGAGCCATGTGTATGCAGTTACATAGATAATTATACTATAGTAGTAAGCCTCAAAATTTTTCATTCATCCAAAAGCACCAATATATCCACTTATTTCACCATGTTTTCCATAATTGTTTAAAAAGAAAAACAGTCATTGGCATATGGTTCCACTAACTCACCAAATTCATGGAACATATCTAATTTTGGATCTCTTCTTGGTTAGTCTAGTTGATAGTTTGTCAATTTTCCTTTTTTTCTCCAAAAACCAACTTTTTGTTTCATTGATCATTTGTATTGTTTTTTGGTCTCTATTTCATTTAGTTCTGCTCTGGTCTTTATTATTTCTTTCCATCTACTAATTTTGGGATTGGATTGTTCTTGCTTTTCTAGTTCCTTGAGGTATAATGGTAGGTTGTTTATTTGGGATTTTTTGACTTTCTGATATAAGCACTTATTGCAAAAATCTTTCTTCTTAGTACTTCTTTTGCAGTATCCCATAGGTTTTGGTAAGTTGTGCTTGTATTTTTCAGTTGTTTGAAGGAATTTTTTGGTTTCCTGTTTTATTTCTTCCTTGACCCATTGGTCAATCAGGAGCATGTCATTTAATTTCCATGTTATTTATATAGTTTCCCAAGTTTTGTTAGTTGTTGATTCCTAGTTTTATTCCGCTGTGGTCTGAAAATATACTTGATGTAATATCCATCTTTTTAAATTGTTGAGACTTGATTTGTGGCCTCACAAGTGGTCAATGCTGGAGAAGGTTCTATGTGCTGATGAGAAGAATATATATTCTGCAGACGTTGGATGAATTGTTCTGTAAACATCTGTCAGGTCCATTTGGTCTAAGTTGCCATTTAAGTCCAATATTTCTCTGCTAATTTTTTGCCTAGATGATCTGTCTGATGTCGAGAGAGTCATGTTAAAGTCCTCAACAATTACTGAGTTGGGGTCAATCTCCCCCTTTAGATCCAATAACAATTGCTTTATATATCTGGGTGCTTTGAGGTTGGGTGCATATATACTTATGATTGTTATATCTTTTTGCTGCATTGATCCTTTTATCATTATACAATGTCCTTCTTTGTCTCTTCTTATAATTCTTGGTTTAAAATCTATTTTATCTGATATACACATGGCAACTCCTGATCAATTGTGGTTTCCATTTGTGTGGTATATCTTTTTCCATCCTTTCATTACTAGCCTATGTGTGTATTTATTGGTAAAATAAGTTTCTTGTAGGTAGTATATAGTTGGGTGTAGGAATTCCAAATCTAGTCTCTTCCTTTATAAATGAACGAAAGATCCAGAAATGTGAAGCAATTTGCACTAGTTCACAACTAACCCAGGTCTCCTGATTTCCAGCTCAGCATCTATTTCTATTCTGCCAGGCTGTCTAATAAAGTTCAGCAAGATTTTTTTCTATACATAATATTTAAACTATTCAAGGATCTTCTCAGGAGCCAGAGGTTTGCTGATTTTTTTGTTTCCATATTCTCTTCATGTGTATTTATATCTCTAGTACTCCAAAGCTCTCTCAGTTGGTATCAATCCACTTAAGAGAAAGATGTTTGGCTTTGGCTGTACACCTACCTGACTAGGAGCCTAGAAAGGCATTTTCTAAAGGAAATGTACCAAAAAGATCATGACAAAAGTGACAAATGCCAAAAAAATGTACTGTTAATATGATCAAACAAACAGAACAACAAGAGGCTAATGGCAAAAGAATCCTGGTGCTGCCAAAACAGAGGGTGACCAAAACAGATAGAAATTCAAGTCTCTCTGGAGGAACATTTCATGCCAGAATTGTCTTTAGAAAATACAAAGAAAAATGGAAGGAAGGGAAGAATAGTCTTGAAAGAGAGAAAGAAATCCTTTGCCAGTAATGATTTTTCCCAACCCTAATGTATTATGATTCTATCCCTTCTGCTGAAACTAAATACATAAATAAAATAATAAGAAAGAAATAGAATATAAACACAGATATAAATGTGAATCTAAGATTTTAATGGCAAGCCTTCCCTCACCTCAAAATCCTTTTGATATGCACAGAATACTTAAAACTGGGGACTGGGAGGGAGAGAGAAAGAACAAAACAAAACAAAACACATACATACACAAAAATGGCAGTGATTTTACATACATATTTTGTGTTTCTGAGCAGGGAATTTTTTTTCGGGAAAGTTTTGCAGAAAAATCAAATTTCTAAAAATTTAATTTCTCTTTCTTAAAACTTCCAAAGCTGTTTTTCTTCAGTTGTCACAATTTGTTTGTACTAATTGTAATGGCACTTTGAAGTTCAGACAATAGGACTTGAAATATGTGACTGATATGTACAATAAAATACCTTTTTTAATTATTCAGCATCCTGCCTTTTTAAAAAGTATGAAGCAGCAGAAAGATCACTAATTATCTGGGGCTACCTCCATTTTTTTGCCATTCAATGAGGGTATTGGATAAGACCTCTTCCAGGTCTGATATTCTCCTATTCTATACCAGAGCTTGGCAAATTAGAGCCTGTGGTCCAGCTACAAGTTTAAGAGGTTGTAAAAAACAAAGAACATCCAACAAAGGCCAGTGTGACCTATGTAGCCTAAAGTATTTAATATCTGTCTTTTTACAAAAAAAAAGTTTGCTGGCACCGGCTCTATACTAACCTCACATCATACCTTGACCTAATAGGAGGGTATGGTGCCATTTTCCAGATTAAGAAAAATGAAATCCAGAAAAACTTGGTGATTTTCTGAAGCCATAAAGTCATTAACAGAGCTGAAAATAAATCTCAAGTCACCTGAATTTCAGTCTTGACCTTAGGAGGGAAAAGAAGAAGAGGGGAAGGAAATATGAGAACTGGGCTAAGTGCTTTACCTGCTCCCTTGATTTCCATCCAAGTCTGCTTGAATCCAAGGAACCTGCTCCCAATACCCAGGCCTCCTCTAATGAAAATGATCAATTCACCCATGCCTCAGGCCTCTGAGCTCATCGTCTGCCAAAACATCAAAGATGGGGCCAAGAGTGACAGCTTGGATTGGATTAGTTGACACTGTTCCGTCCAGGGCTGGACGTATTAGTTCGCCTGGGGCATTGAGACTCTGCAGGAGGTTTACACTGTGGGTGGATGTTCTCTGTCACTTATTCAACATTTGAATCCTCTGGGGAGAGAACCAAGCTTATTACAAAATTCTTTCCCTGGAAGACCAAAGGTATTCCAAAGGTCACCTCATATTAGTTTTTCATATGAACAACCAGCTTTGGTTTATCATAATAATTATTTATTTTAAATTCTACATAAGTAGTCAGCTCACTGGTCATTATCACAATTATTATTCATTTATTTGACAATATTTATTAAGCACCTACTTGGGCCAGAGACTGTGCTTGACCATTTACATAAAATAGCTTCTTTAATTTTCACAACTCTTAGAGGTATTAGTATCTCTATTTTAATGCAAAGAATTGACATGAAAAGAATCTAACTTAAGGTTATTTAAAGAGATGAAGAGATTAGAACCCAGGGCTGCACCATGATGGCTTCTGCACTGCAGACATAAAGGAGTCTACCTCTCATGTCACTAGTCATGACACTTAATATAGATTATGACATCTAATCCTCATAACAACCACATTATTGTTTACACCTATGTTTTAAAGGGGGAAACTAAAGCTTAGCACAGAACAATTAGGTATCTTGCCTAAGATATTCAATTGGTGAAGTTTAGATCCTAAATATAAACCTGGCCTGAGCTCTCACCCATGAACTTTTATGTTCAAGGACTTTGAGCAAAGCACCTGACCCTTGCACAGCTCTGTTTTTTCACTTGTCAAATGAGAGCAATAAAAACTGCCTCCTGTGTTTCTTGTGAGGTTAAATAAAATAATATTGACTAGCATAGAATTGATTTAGGATTAGTTACTATCAATCAAATGAAGGGACAGCTCAGAAACCTAAGTCAAAGACACATTGGTATGGGTAACTCAAAGAAAGATCTCAAGCAGAGAGACCACACACATTCAACTGGAGCTCTGTCCAGGCTATTTATTTTTATAGCAGGAGGGGGCAGGGTATGAATGGTCAGAATCACCAAGCCAACCTCAAAAAATTGCCAAGAAAAATACATAATGTGGAAATTACTTCTTTAGGAGTACAAATTTAAGCTTCAGTATTAATAAAAATAAGAAAACTCTATGAGCTAAAGTGGTATAGTCAACAGTAAGGAAGTGATGCTCTTGGCTTCACACAGTGAAACAGAAAAGTGTATTCAAAATATATTCTACTACATGAGGAAAAGACAAAATAAAAACTACTTTTATCTTTGCATAGGTTTCTGTTTATTTGTTTATACCAAGGAAGGATTTATGGCAGCTTGCAAAAATTCATAAACACAGAAGATTAATATAAATCAGTAAAAGGTAAAGAATGAAAATTTTAAAGGGAAATAATATAAGACAGCTGGGAGGTTGATATATGAATATATTATTTCCCAAGGAAATAATAAAAATAAGAGCATAAAGCAATAAAATTGAAATCAATAAAACAAAGCTAGTTCTTCAAAAACAATCATTCAAATTGATAAACCTTGAGCAAAGCTGACTAAGACAAGAAGAAATAACAGCATAAAGCAATAAAACTGAAATCAATAAAACAAAGCTAGTTCTTCAGAAACAATCATTCAAATTGATAAACCTTGAGCAAAGCTGACTAAGACAATAAGAAATAAGACACAAATTATCAATATCAAGAAAAAAAACAATGTATCCCAACAGATCTGCCGAGCATAAAGCAATAAAATTGAAATCAATAAAACAAAGCTAGTTCTTCAAAAACAATCATTCAAATTGATAAACCTTGAGCAAAGCTGACTAAGACAAGAAGAAATAAGACACAAATTATCAATATCAAGAAAAAAAACAATGTATCCCAACAGATCCTGCAGCCATTGAAAGGCTAATCAGGAAATAGCCATTGAAAGGATAATCAGGAAATACTATGAACAACTTAATTCTCATAAATTCAACAACTTAGAAGTGAACCAACTCCTCAAAAACCACATACTACCAAAACCCAGTCAAAATGAAATAGACGACCTGAGTAGTCCTATAACTATTTTAAAAATTGAATTTATAATTCACGATTTCCAGAAAAAGATAATTCCAGGCCCATTTTGTCTCACTGGTGTATTTTAGCAAACATCGAAGAAGAATTAACACCAATTTTACACAATGTCTATCAGAAAATAGAAGGAACACTTACGAGTTCATTTTTATAAGGCTAGTATTATGTTAACACTAAACCCAGAAAATAACAGCACACACACAAAAATAAATAAACCACCACCGACCAACACCTTCCATGAACTTAGATGTGAAAACCCTCAACAAAATTTTAGCAAACCACATCCAACAATGAATAAAAAAATAATATACCACAACCACCTGAAATTTATTTTGGGTATGAAAGGCTACTTCAATATTTTAAAACGACTCAGTGTAATCTATCACATCAACAGGACAAAGAGAAACAATTTTATGATCATACAAATTGATTCAGAGAAAGCATTCAAGAAAATTCAACACCCATTCGTAATAAAAACTCTAGGTATACTATGACTAGAAAAGAACTTCAGCTTCACAAACGGCATCTACAAAAAACCTACAGTTAACATCATGCTTAACAGTGAAAGACTGAATGCCCTCTCTCTAAAATGAGGAACAAAGAAAGTTTTCCTGCTCTCACCAATTTTATTTAACACAGTACTGGACATTTTTGCTGCTTCGATAAGGCAAGAAAATTAAAAAAAAAAAAAAGGTTAGAAAGGAAGAAATAAAACTACCTCTGTTTATGAATGACATGATTGTCTACACAGAAAACCCTAAAGGATATACAAAAAGCTTCTACAATAAGTGAGTTTAGTAAGGTCACAGAATACAGGATCAACACAGAAAAATCAACTGCATTTCTATATACTGACAATGAACAAGTGGAAATCAAAATCAAATACCACTTACAATTGCTCCACTTCAAAGAAAATGGAACACTTAGGTATAATCTTAACAAAACCTATCATAAAGAATCCTTATATAAAATGCTGATAAAAGGAATAAAAGAGACTCTAAATACTTGGAGAAATATACCATGTTCATGAACTGGAAGACAAGGTAGTTAAGATGTCAGTTCTCTGTAAATGATCTGTAAGGTAAACAGAATTCCTACTAAAAGCTCTGCAACTTTCTTTGTGGACATAAACAAGTTTATTCTAAAACTAATATGAAAAAAGAAAGGCCCTCAGAGTAGTACACATAATTTTGAAAAAGAGCCAAGTGGAAGAAATCACTTTTTCCAATGTTATGACTTACTATACAGCTATGGTAATCAAGACAGTGTGATGTTGGCAGAAGGAGAGACACATAAATCAGTGGAACAGAGTACAGAACCCAGAATTAGGACCTAGGACTAGACAAAGAGTTCTTAGGCTTATTACTAAAAGCATAATCCATAAGAGGAATAATTGATAAATTGGACTTCACCCACATTAAAACTTTTGCTCTGTGAAAATCCTGCTAAAAGTATAAAAAGACAAATTACAAACCAGGATAAAATCTGTTCATATTACATATATGACAAAATCCTTGTGTTTAGAATATATAAATAACCTCAAAAGTCAAAGATATAAAACAATCTAATTGGACAATGAACAAAAAATATGCACAAATATTTCACCAAAAAAAATATGGATGAAAAATACACACTTAAAAATATATTATACATCATTAGCCACTAGAGAAATGCAAATTAAACATACATCTTAAATATATATACAGTGATATATTACCATACATCAGAATGACTAAAGTGAAAAACAGTGATAATACCAAATGCTGACAGAGATGCAGAGAAACTGAATCATTTAGACATTATTGGTGAGAATATAAATGGTGGCGTCACTCTGGAAAATAGTTTGGCAGTTCTTTCAAAACTAAAAATGGGCTTTCCATATAATGCAGCAATTGCACTATTGGGCAAAAAGTTCATGGAAAAATACAGATTATCTTTTAATTCTATTTTTCCATGAACTTTTTGAAATACCCTTGTATATCCAGAGAATGAAGACTTATTTTCCTGCAGGAACTTATACACGAATGTTCATAATGGCTTTATTCATAATAGCCAAAAACTGAAAACAACCTATGTCTCCAAACTGTGGTATAACCAAAATATGGGATGGTACTCAGCAATAAATTGGAACAAACAATTGCTACATGCAACAACTTGAATGTACCTCAAGAAAATTATGCTAATTAAAAAAAAATCTCAAAAAGAGATGAACGATTCCATTTACACAATTATCATAAAATAACAAAATGGCAATGGAGAACAGATTAGTAGTCGCTGGCAACTAGGGATGGTGATAAAGCGACGGACGGAGTGGGATCCTTTCAGGTCTCAGAACAGTGAGCAAGTCCCAAGTCAAGGCATGGCTCGCCAGTCCAAAGCTGAACCCCCCCTCCCCCCACTGGAAATCTGTAAAGGACAAGTGTTTGGATGAAGAGGATGATCTCGCCAACTTACGTGGAACTGGTCTGAGGTTGTTCGAATGCTTCTTTGGGAATTTTCAGGCCAGGGTTTCGCTTCTTGCCTATGAGGAAAGACGAAAGGAAAAGGTAAAGGTATAAATCACAGCAAGAGAGCAGGGGCAGAGACTGCAGCAGAGGAACAGAGTGGCCCCAGGCATGCATCTCGCCTCTTCCCATGCAGGACACCACTTCCTACCCAGGAAGCCTGTGAGTGCCCAGAACCAAAGCACCAGGCAGAACAGAGCTTCCTAAATGCACACTGCGGTCACGAATGAGGTTTTCCATCAGTGCCAGGTGAAAATGTCAGGATAAGAATTTAAAATCTCTTTTCCTGAGAAGATCTACCCTTCCTCCCTGTGGAGAGTTTGTCATTACAACTTCTTTGTTTTTTTTCCTTACATAATAATGGTGATAGCAGGCGCTATTGGTTATAGTTTGTTTTTTTTTGTTTTTTTTTTTTCTTTTTAATGTCAGTAAAATGCAGTCACCCTTATCTCAGTATTCCACAATTTTCTAAATTACTCTGTAAACAGCTGCTAGAGTTAACAATAGAATAAAAAATACTTTTCCACTGTTCTGCCCTGCCCATTCCTCCACCACCTGCCGTAAGTTGAAAAACTTAAGAGAGGGATAGAGTAATATTTATTTACATTTGACCTGTTCCAAAAAGGATTAAGATAACAGATGGGCCTATGCAAGGCGGTTATCGCTTCTTTGGGGGCCAGATGGGAATGTAACCTGATGCTGTTCGTCCCTGGGCTGAAACTACATGAGAGTTGGCTCAAATGCTTTTGTTGATGAATAAAAAAAGAACAGACTGAGAAACACCAGCTCAGGAAGCAGATCAGAGAAAACAGTCTTGTAAGGGCCTGGGATTTTCGTCACCTACGGAGATCCTGTGTCTCTGCGCTTGGCAGGGAAAACCAAAGCAGAGCTGGCTAGAATACCCCAGTTCTACTCTCTTTCCCACCTCTTCTCCACGTCTCGAGTGTGGACTTCAGATAAGGACCTGGACAGGTCCAGAAGCGGCAAAGAAACTTAAATCAAATAAAGTGGCTGGCCGATTCGCTCAGTTGATTAGAGCACAGTGTTGATCACACCAAGATTGAGGGTTCGGATCCCCTTACCGCCAGCCACCAAAAAAGAGAAAAAAAAAACAAACAAACAAACAAAGCGACCTCTTTGCAGGAAAATGACATCCAAAGACTTTGGTGACTTGCTCAATATCAAAGAAAAAGCAATGACCCAGTGAGAATCAGAATCCAGGTTTCCGGGCCGGCCCGGTGGCGCACTGCTATAGTGCGCCGCTTGGGAGCGTGGCGGCGCTCCCACCGAGGGTTCGGATCCCACATACAGACCGGTTCCCGCTCACTGGCTGAGCGAGGTGTGGGAGCAACACCGAGGGTTGCGATCCCATTGCCGGTCCCGGTCCGGTACGGGCGTGACACTGAGGGTTGCGATCCGTTGCCGGACACGAAAAAAAAAAAAGAATCCAGGTTTCCACAATGGAAAAAGTTTAGAGATGACTGGAGAGAGATTTTGAGTTTGAAAATAAGTGGGGTGGGGGGAGCCTTCGATTTTGAGATTTTAGAGTGGGGTGAGGGGATTGGGGTGAGTTTCAGAATAACCAGCTTCCTTCTGCTGGTTCTTCCACTCACTAAGCAACCTCCAGGCACTTTTCATCTGACTTCCAATTTCCTCAATTGTAAATTGGGAAGGTAAGAATCGAAGCAGATAATGTACATGAAAGAACATTGAGATACCTTCAGTAACTGTTAATTAGGATATAGAGAGGAACAGGCGGTGCTGTTTCAGTTTTTAAAAGGTCATTTAAGAAATTCATAAACAGCCTGGGTCATCTCCTCACAGCCCAACACAATGTACAATTGAGTTTTTTCTTTCTTTCCCTTCAAAGTCTAAAATCTAGGTCAATTAAGCCAACTTGTATAAAGCCAGAACAAAAATAGGCTTGGCAGTAATCAACATAAAGTGTTTTAGAGCCCCCTTCATTGCAACAGCTTTTCTTAATTCTCTCCTCATTTGGGCTTATCTATACATTTTATAAAGTACAAACTTACCATGCACTTTCCTGCTCTAGGAGCTCAGATAGCCCTTTAGCAGATGTTACTTATCAGTCAGTTATTGACAATACATAGAGCTTTACTATGTGCTGAGAACTATGCAAGCTGCTGGATCCAACTGAAAGAATCCAAATGGATACATGCCCAGTTCCAACAATTCCCATCCGCACGCCTCAGTCAAATCCACAGGGAATGCTACTTTAAATGAGATACTTCCATGAGAAATGAATGACAGATTCAACTTGTTCAGATAACTACACACATATTCCAGTACAAGTGACAGGCAATTCAGGTCATCCCAATGGATAGAGCCGTATAGTTCTCTCCAGTAAAACAAAACTAAAGTAAAATGTATTTGCCTGTGAAAAAGCGTCTCCAGTTACCATTTAAACAAACCAAATGCAGAAGTTATTCTCAAATTCCTACATCTCCCTCTTCTTCACTTCTAACTCAGTTCTTATAAAAATGATGCAAAGAAAAATAGCTATTTATTGAGAAAACCTCCTTTAAAAACTTTAACAGAGCAGTAATTAGTAGCAATTCTTAATAGCAATTAATTGTGACACAATAACTCAAATCATCATATATACACAAAGAAATAGTGAAAAAGAAAGAGAGGGAAAAAAAAAAAAACTTTGGGCACACAGGCCAGAGGAATAAATGAACAAAACAATGATTAAGTCTTCCAGGTGGGAGAGGAAGGACTTGGTTCTCTTCTCACTTCACCTTCACATCCAGCCACCCCACCCCCCACCCCACGCACACATCGACATCATTTCACCCTGAATTTGCTGCCTCCTGGGTGAATTACCTGCTTCTTGTCTCCAAAAGCTAGACCCCTGACTATCTATACATTGGAGATTTGCAGTCTTCAAAGTTTTCTTAAACCTAATATTTTGAAGCATACCAAACCCTGACAGCAACAAGAAAAAAATAGTTCCAAAAGGCACAAAACCCAGTTGATTACACTGTTAGAAAATACCCTGCCTTCACTTTTAAAAAAGTAGACCAAACAGAACAGTTACAAACTCACAGCAACATTCTGTTAATTTACTTACTTGCCCATCTCTGAAAGAACAGCACAGTAAGAGAGCAGCAGTCTAGAGACTCTGATGAGGTTTTCGAGACAGCAAGGAAGACCAGCAGAAGAAAACCCCACAGAAGTCATTCCTTAGCTCCAAAGACCACACTTCAGCCTGGAGAAACAGAACTGAACAGACTCCACCCTCTCCTCAAGTCAGAATTGCAGCAAACCTCTGTGAGTTCATTGTTCCCAGGAAACTGCAGCCTCAGGAAGGGATAAGGAAAGTGGGTCCATTTGGACACCCAGGCGTGACATTAATCATTAACCAGAGTTGGAAGAATAAATCTATAAAGTAATTCTGCACAGTACAGTGTTCTCCAGCCTTCCTATAAATGCCTCTTTCACTTCTTAATAGAAAGAAAAACAATATGTGGTCAGTTTCCAGCCGTGTTTTTTTCTAAGCAATCTGTTCCCCCTAGGAAGGCTGCCAACACCTGATGTTAACATTAAACACTGGGTTACAAAAAAAATTATTGGGAGGGAGCAATATGAATAGTAAAACTAAGTGGCCAGGTCTGTTAAATAATCTTTTTCCCTTGATATTCCAAGCAAAAAAAAAAAACCACTTAAATCAGAAAATAGGCTTTATACTCTGTCACATGCTAGCAACAAGCCTTCTCAGAAAGAAAGAATTCTGTAGATGTCTGCAGACCTCAACAAGCCTTGCCCTCTTACTGGTGCAATCTGCAAAGCATAAGCCTGGTCAGCTTGATTGGGCATATGCAAAACTATATTACATGAGCCCATGTCTCACTCATGCCTATTTTCTGTGAAAGTACTGGAGTCCACACACATATATTTGCACAACTCATCTTAAACCAAAGCTGGGTCCTTATAATTCTGGCCTGGAGCAAAACAGCACTGGGGGGGAAAAAAAAAACCCAAATACCTTGCCAATAGTTAGAAAAGATTTACAAGGTCACAGAAATGTTCACTAGCTTTGACTGCACCAAAAATGATGGGGTACACAAGAGATCTTGCTCAGCACCCACTCAGAGAGAATAAGCACAAAGGGCTTCTCTAATGTGCCTTATTACATAAAACGGAAGATCGTGTTCCAGTGCCAACCCAAACAACGCAAGAATCCCACACGGTCAACAGAAGGCGGCATCGTGAGGATATGCTGATGCCTAAATATTTGTCAGCTTGGCCGAGCGTTGAGGGCATGATTATGAGGGTTTGTGATTATTGACACAGCCTCGCAAAAGGATGGCAATGCTTCCAGTGCCAAATTTATTTTAAAAATCTGTTTCCCAATATGAATGGGATTTCCAGCCAAGTAACTGGCAACCTGGAGGCCTTGGCTGCCCTCTCCTTACTACTTGCTTGCAGGCTTAAGTTCCAACGGTAGTTGGCAGTGAAATTGGCAGGGAAGTGTCATTAGATGTTATTATCTTGCAATGATCATATGCAAAGCAACTAACAAGTAGGGCAGAGGAAGGGAAGTGCAGAGACCCTCCATCCCCCCAAACCACCGGATCTCATACACGACAGACACTCCAACCCGTACACCAAATTTCTTTGAAATTATATAAAGTTTAGAGAAGAAAAGCTGAAAAGCTCATTTTAAAACTTGCAGCCACTTTCATTTCAAGGAGGCAGAATGAATCTCCAGATACCTTACCTTTGCCCATATGATTCTGGTTCTCTCTGCCTGCAGGGCTCTCTAGCCCTCTTGTGGATGAGAACTCAACCTTGCAAATTCAACTGGCTTATCCCATGCCCCACAGAACCTTCCCAGACCTTCCTGAGCCCAGTCCACACATCCCTGCATTCACCTTCTGGCATCTCACACAGGGCCAGGACCACAATGTGAGCTCAAGGCAACTTTACTGAAACCATGACACTTAAGTTTAAAACGTCCACTCTCTCTAAAATAGATTTCTGTGACCATCTTCTATTTTCCTCATACCTTTTTTCACAACTTAATAACTTTATTTTTGTATTTATTTATTTTTTACATTTATTTAATATTTATTTGTTTATCATTTATCTTC